ATCGTGCCATTGATCTGACTTTCCTCTTCCTAAAAGAGATGTCTCACTCAATAGAGGTATTAAAATCTGATTAATTATGTGATATTGTTTGTTCTTTAATCAAAGACGACCATGACCCGTTCACAATACTAATTCACAGTTCATCTTAGCCATTGATCAGCTCTTAAGATACCTGTGCGCAATATGAGTATATTGATCTTGTGGCTAGATAATGACCAGTCTTTGGATGCTACTGATCCAGCTACATCCATGATTTAGTTACATAGTAATAGTATATACAGAGAAGTATGTAATATATGGCACAAAATCAACGGAAAGATGGAAGACATGTAAATTAAGCTAGTGTCTCTTGAGAGAGAGGATAGCCTTGAAGATGCCCACAAGAACACCAGTGATGGAGAGCACCGTGACGATTGCTTTGAAGTTTTTGTAGACGAACTGGTGCACCTTGATCCACATCCACCTGTTGAGCTTGTAGGCCTCAACCTCCTCCATGATTTGAATGTAGAGGGGGCCGCCACTTATGCACTTGACAAGCATCTTGAAGAAGTCAAGCGTCTCTTTGTTGGTGAGTTCTCCCTGCACCAGGCGCTTGGATCGCAGCTCGTGCACGTCCTCCTCCCGATCCATGAGCATGGCGAGGACAGCAAGGTAGGAGCAGACGACTGCTGTACTTTGATGAGCACCAGCTGCCATGCCCAGGCATACCTCGAAAGCCGCCATGTTGACAAGCCAGCAGGACCTTATGTCGTCCAGCAACAGAGGTGCCAGGAAGATCTCGGCAGAGAGGAATGTTTTCTTGATGCCCGTGTCCATGAACTTTGTCGTCTTGCCGGCTGTGAGCTTAATGCCAATCTCTGCAAGCTCAATGGCGCTAATACTCTTTGACATGGATCTAAAACCATCTGGAACAGACAGGGGCACATTATTATTTATGCCTCCGGCTTTGTAGAACAGGAGGATGCCAAGAAGATGTGGCGGCATGTAGCAAGCATCCATCACAACTGGTCTCCTGTGCATGTCCCCACGGATTTGGAGTGTGCGTCCCATCTTACCGATAAACTCCTCCACAGGCACGGACCTGAACGTCCTTAGGATGTTGACCACCATCCAGGGAAGTTGATTCTCGAGCAGCATTATGTCGTTGATGATGCAAGCCTCGTTGGACTTGAAGCAAGACAATAATGACGGAGGCAGCTTGCCAAGGCCGGTACACATAAGCATATACTGCAGCAAGAAGCAACCATCGATGAACATCATGTCCGCAAATTCAGCATCTCCTACGTCGACCTTGGAATCCTTGGTGTCGTAGAAGCTGCGGGCAGCACCTATGACGGAGAAGACCGCCGCATACATCTCCTCAAATGAGCGGCCTGAGTAACTGATGAAGTGGTGTGTAGCCACGCGCTTCACCTTCTCCATCTCATGCAGGCTACTTGAGCCATGGTGGTAAAGACCGATGCTCACAGCCATTGGGAGGATATAACGCCGTCCAAGGCTCCGCGTGCTTGCAGGGAACCTATGAATCTTCATTTCCATCTCGCCAAAATCAGTCTCAAACTGTTGTGCTTCTATCTTCCACTCCTCGACCTGAACCTGTTTATCTGGGAACATAACAACAGGTAATAGTCCTTGTTCCATCTCCAAATCATCAGAATAATTCTGAGGATCTCCTTCATTGAAGTAATAGTAATAATAGCAGCTAGGCCGAGACCGATGTGTAGCTGCTTTCTTCAACTCCTCCTCAACCTTTGACTTTTCAGGCTGAGAGGCAGGTTCGCCCCTGGCATCTGTTGGATCCTGTACAAAAGTTACAGTTAGACCATTTTTGCAAGACAAACCAAAACCAGTGTCCTCAATGTTACCACCAAGGTCGGCCCCTGTACAGCTGACCTCTTGCACACACTCACCGCGGAGGACGGTTGAGAGGCTTGTATCACCATCTGCAAATAGCTGTGCTGGGTTGCTGTTGCTGAAGTGCTGCTGCGGTTCCTATCCAAGTTAAATGTATATATAGGCTTTGTACTAGCTAGACTAGTTGCTGCCCTCCACGTTCTGTCAGCAACTTGTCATTGCTGCCTCCATGATAAATGATGGAATAATCCAACTTGTTGCGTCTTAATGTTTTGACTTTCAGGCTTTAACTCAGAAAACATTGGCAAGTTTTAGTTGGTATTGACTTGGTAGCACATTGCCAGCCAGACCTGTCGACATTCCCAGACCTCAAACAATTTCCTCTCAAAGTCAAAGCTATGAGCTCTGAGGAATAAATTCCTAAAGCCAGAACAGCAAGTCATGAGCTGGGTGCAAGTAAAGAAGACACCAATCCATGTGTGCTGCAGAAGATGGTGCATGCAAAATATCATCTCATTAACATGTATAAAACTTGGTTAAATACATCCCTTGCAAAAACATTGCCTGCTAATTGTGGGAACAAGTCTCGACTTGTTTTTGTCGTGGGCAAAGAAGGTGGAAAGGTATGCTACAATAACAAGAAGCTTCATAAAATCTACACCAGCAGCAGCTTCAATGGTCTTGCTCAAGAATAGCTCTGGGCGTTGCACTACATCACTTGTATTCTAGTGGTAAGAACTAAGAATATCATAGCAATCAATGCCCAATGCTACTTGGTACCTCCTCTGAGCATTTTCCTTTTCTTATGACTTTGGGCAACCTCTTAATGCAACTAGCACACACATGCTTGATAATAGTTGCACCAGAACCAACCTCTAGAAAAGTGTAAATTATTTAGGAAACAGACAAATGCCAGCATAAGATGGATTTGTTTATAAACGTTGAACTAGGGTGAAGCATAAGTATACTTTGACAAAATGACCTGTCACTCCTAAGAAACACGAGAAGTAAGACTTTACTGTCTTGCATATACTTCCGCTTTTTCTTAAAACTATTTTCTGTTGGATTATATTAAGTGTGCCTGACCCAATGTTTACGAGTCGAAGAGTCGTCGAGTCGTTCCAAGGTTGAGACTCATAAACTAATCGTGACTAGTCTAGACTAGTGCAAGACTAGTCGACATGGTACTGTAGCACTGAACTTACAGTACATAACTACTAGTAATACCTAGTAGTAGTATGCAGTATTACATTATATAAGTATACAAGTACAGTATACAATACAAATGAATGCATGGCTTTGAACTTGGTTGAGTTAGTCTTCATGTACGAATGCATCTCTTTCCTGATTTCATCGGTTGTTTTCAGACACATTAACACCACTGTGTAACCCCCACACCAAGGTGCTTCTTCATCCTTAGCACTATAGAAGACACGTTTTTGCCACACAAAACACACTGGATTGTCAATTTGTCCTACAGATTAGGCCAAAAGGCATACTAACATATGCTGGGTCCTTGGTCCTAGTTGGCTTCCTCCCAGGATCCTTTGATGGATCATAATCCTCAGCAGCTTGAGCTAAAGCGGCTGCTGAGCACACTGTTTGAGATATCTCTGGTGTTGTAGACATTGTAACTCTAGCTCTGCTCAAACCTAAGGATGTTGAATTGAAACAAGCAAACCTAAACCAGGAACCAACAGTAGAGGAACCAGCCAAGGAACAAGCAATATAGGAACCGTATGAGGATAAGAGAAGGGAGAAATTACTTGCAAAGGGAGGATCCAGGAGCAGATGAACCAGCCCAGGAACCAGCAGAGATAGGGCTGGATCTGGACAGTAGAACGAGTGAAAAGGGGGAGCTCCAGAGGAGTGGGAAGCTCTCTCTGGAGCGAAACTGAGAGGAAGAACAAGAAGGAGAACACCAAGAACTCCAACATCTAGATCCAAGGGGTTCCCCTCACATAGAGGAGAAAGTGATTGGTGGAAATATGGATCTAGATTTCCTCTTTCTTTTCCCTAAAAAACTAGCAAGAAACCATGGAGGGATTGAGAGTTAGCAAACTCGAAGAAGGTCAACAATGGGGGAAGAACACGAGCTCAAAGGGTAAGGTTCATTGGGGAAGAAGACCCCCTTTTATAGGTGGGGAAAAAATCCAACCGTTACCCATCAACCAGCCCGTGGCCAGCGGTACTACCGCGCCTGGCCAGTGGTACTACCGCGCCTGGCCAGCGGTACTACTGCAAGGCCGCGTGGTACTACTGCTTGCAACCAAGCGGTACTACCGCACGGCTGTGCGGTACTACCGTACCGACCCACGGTACTGCCGCAACCCCAGCACAGAACCGATAAACAGACGCACAGGAGCTGGGGGCGGAACTTCCGCACGCGCGGTACTACCGTGCCCCCCATGCGGTACTACCGCGAGGCAAAAGTCCCAGCCAGGAGAAAAGGGAAACTCCCGTGCCTACTTCCGCAAAGAAACGGAAGTAGCAAAAACCCGACACAGTAGTACTGCCGAGGGGCGGTACTACTGCCTGACCGCATAGCACGGTACTACCGCACGGCGAAAGCGGTACTACCACGGTAGGTGCGGATGTAAAAAATTACATCTGCTCCTACTACCGCAAAGGGGCGGCACTAGCCTGGTGGGCAGCGGTAGTGCGGCTCCAGGGGAGCGGTACTACCGTGGGCACCTGCGGTACTACCGTGCCACTGCACGGTACTACCGCTGATGCCTACGGTACTACCGCTTTCCTGGGAGCAGTACTACCGCAACCAACAATGGCAGCCACACAAGGAAGGCAAGAAAACAGAGGAAGCTCCAAGGAAGAAGGAGGGGAAAAGAAGGAGACGTGTACGTGATGAATCCACCCAAACCTTTCCAACGCGGACCCTGACAAAACCACACTCAAGAGAACAAGAACTGCCATAACTTCTGCATATGAGCTCCGAATTGAGCAAACTCAAGCTTATTGGAAACAAGACGACGAGTAGCATCAAAACAGCGACTGGTTATAGTAAGAAGAGGCAGGGGAGGTATGCCAACAAATAGAGGAGTGAAAGCTCCAACCGAGAAGAACCAGCAAAACCTCCAACAACGAAAACATCATAGAGTATGCAAGCGAACTCCGTTTTCGATGAACTCAAGCTTGTCATCAAGATGACCAAAAGCTCTAAGACTCTCAAAGAGAACCAAACAAGAACCAAGAAAGATGATGCAAGGATGCAATGGTTTGAGCTCTCAGCGAACGATACGATCAAGCTACTCATCGAGAGCCCCCCTTGATAGTACGGCAATCGATCCTATAACCCAGTCTCCCAACTACCATCATGAGACCGGTAAAATAGAAAACCTATCAAGGGCAAACCTTTGCCTTGCACATGGTCCACTTGAGCTAGATGAAGACGATCTTGACTCCCTCAAGTTGGACCACCTTTCTTGATTGGGTTGACTTGATGAAGACTAGTTGATTGCTCCCCCATACTCCACTATGGACGAGCCACTCTTCCGCACATCTTCACAAGTCCATTGTCACCACAAAGGATGGCAAGCTTCAAGCATTTGATCTCTTCGTGATGCTCCACTTGAACTTGCACACCGCAACCTAACCCCACAAAGAACCCTCATGAAGACCATGGGTTAGTACACGAAGCGTAATTGACAATGCTTACCATACCATGGGATCACTTGATCCCTCTCGGTACATCTTCTATGCTTTGTGGGTTGGTCAACTTGATTCACTCTTTGACTTAGTCTTGATCAACCTCTCACAAGACCAATCTTTAGGTAATTCCTTGAATAGCACCTTGGTCGACACAAACTCTCCTTGAAACCAACACATGTACTCCAAGAAAAGCCTATGGACAAAAACCTTCAAATATAACTCAAGGCAACCATTAGTCCATAGAGATTGTCATCAATTACCAAAACCAAACATGGGGGCACCGCATGTTCTTTCACTAATGATGATCTACTATGTTGAGAGAGACAGAGATTTGCAGGCATTGATGACAAGCAAATTATAGTGCATTTTCATAGCTTGAGGAAACGTCGAGGCCATCTACCAGAAAGTCCCCGTATCATGACAACATAGCATAAATACTTTTCTAAACTATTGGCATACTTGTCCAGGATAGATATATTGATATGCAGTTTGCGGACTGGTTATACGTGCAATTACACTTCGATATTTTCAGCCAGAGAACGAATAATTCAAGCAGGTACAGACCATGTTTGTAGTCCTTGTACACCATGTTGCATTTTGTGTTTTTTGGTGCTTGCATCATTTAGTGTTTATAATCTGAACTACTTTGGATCATTAGCTGGTTTTCAAAGTGCATGTAGCTTCACATTTCTCAAGTTATGTTGATTTACGGAGTGCAAGTGCCTTCGTATTTTTTAAGTTAAATGTTTGCCCCTGGTAATTTGAATTCGTGGATCAGCCACTGCACACAAATCATACACGAATGCCAGTACAAATTAAATGAAATGCAGGGACTTACGCTAGCTCGTTGTACAGGCTCACTGCAGCTCTGCTTGCGCTTGGGATGTTCCATGTACAAGTCCATGTTACCACTTGCTTGGATGTGCAGGCCTTATGCTCCTTGCATCCCCCTCTGCGTTTTTGACACGGCAAATGGTTGATCAAATAAAAGGAACCGACCTTGATGTTGTACCGGAGGACAAATACTTACAAGGTTATACGGGTGTGCAGGATGTGTACCAGATCCTGTAGCACCGTCATGCTTCGCTAAAAAATGGATTTGCTTGTTTCAAATGATATCTCCAGAAGAAATAAGAGTTAAAGTCAGAGTTGCATAGGCGTGTAAGCTAAGAGAGCAGTGAAAGGATATCCAAACATCGTCGGAACAGTGAACAAGGGAGTGATGTGTGGATACCTAGTTAGGGCCGGCGTTTGGGCATGCTCGCGTAGCTAGAGTGTGGGTCACTTCAGAGGCGTTGACGGTGATGCGCTGGCGTTGGCTGGCCGCGCACGGATACAGATCTTGAGTGGCAGCGGAGCGCTACGATGCGGTGGACGAGACCGTTGGTGAAGCCCCAATGGCCTCGGGGGGCGGCGGTGCGAC